CCTTGAGGTACAATTGCATATTGGTGGTAGTCGATAGGTTAGGCAAATAAGCCCATTTCTTGCCCTATCCTTACACCACCAAAACTGTGGAAATCTATTTGCTCATGAGATAGTTCGCTACATGGAACCCCTTAATCTATTTTTAGTGACTAGGAACTGATATTCATGAGTAGCTTTTGGCAAGAAACTTTTCAACTACAAGGCACCAAGTTAAAGATGAATCAGATGACCAGATAGAGGTTTTAAATTGGGGATTGGAGACATGTCTGGGGTGTTTTGCATTTGAACAACTGCACTTGGGTACGTTGGTTATCATGGGCCCAGTTTCCTTATAATACCTCATTTCACTTCGCTATTGTTCTCACACCCTTTGAGACTATGTATGGTCAACCTCCCCTAGTAATCCAGCAATTTATGCCTATTGAAAGATGCATTGAATTAGTTGCCTTAATTTTTCACATAAGGGATGAGATTCTTCAATAGTAGAAGTTTAACTTATAGTGAGCCTCAAATAGGATGCGTCGTAAGCCAATAGCGGAACGTACAATTCATGGTAGGTGAACGTGTTTTCCTTAAATTGTAGCCATATTAGCAATCTAGATTAACCTCGGTGGTACATTCGAAACTCTTTGCGAGATATAATGGTCCTTTTGAAATATGAAGAAGGTAAGAAGTGTCGCTTAAAAGTTGAAGTTGCTAGAAAGCAGTCATCTCGCAACTATTTTTCATGTCTCACAACTTAAGCGAGTGGTGGATGCCCATTTGGTGGAGTCATCTCTTTTTCCAGACAGACGCAGTAGTGACGCTCCACTCTTCGAGCCAAAAACCATTCTCATGTCACAACATTTTCAAAATTGGGGTCCCGTCATACAACAGTTGTTGGTCACTAGAAAGAATGACCATTGGATGAGGTGACTTTGGTGGATCATAATCGGTTCATTTCGCAATGTTTGGATTTCGCCTTGTGGATAAGGCGATCATTTAACAAGTCAGAATATTGTTACGGAAAAGTTCTAATAGGAGATAAATATTAAGATTAGGATTAAGATTGTTTGCATTGGATTTGGATTTACCTATTTTTCGGTTAGGGCTTAGTATCAATGGGATGTTGGGAGTCCAGGGAAGCATAGAGAGAAATTATTCCTTATTTCAGTTTTAAGCTTAGATTTCGAGAGTGTTGTTCTCGAGCAGTGTTTGTTGACTACATTACTTTCTATTTAATTTATTACTCTCTAACAGATTACCAATTCTGCGTGCTAATTGAAATAATTGTTTGTTTAAATTATTCTTGTTATAAATTTTTAATTAATTTAAAATGGTGATTATATTTTTTAATATAAATATTATGAAATTTTTGAAGTTTAAAATTGAAGAAGGTGGAGGGTCAAGGGTTGAATTGTTGACATTTAGAAATGATTAACAATCAACATTTTTTAATAAATAAAGGGATTTAAAATTCTTAAAATGTTTGGAAATAATTTTTTTTTTTTTTATGTTTGTAAATCTTAATGTGTTTTGAAAAACCCAAATTTTGAATCTTAAACTCAAAATTCTAAAAATTTTAAGTCCAAAATTTAAAAAAAGGGGAACACCCCCTTGGATATGGAATGCGGGCACCCAAGTCAAAAAGTGAGGCCCATGCCACCTTTCCACCGTCTCGATCAAATTAAGCTTCAAAAGTTGCAGTTAACATGAAGACTCCATTGGATATATATGTTTTATTATATACATAATATATATATATATATATATAGAGAGAGAGAGAGAGAGAGAGAGAGAGAGAGAACCATTTTGCAATCAGTAAGTTAAACACTAACAGATAAACAAGAGAACTCGAGGTGATAAACACATCATTAGTGAACGAATAGATTAACATACAGAAGAAGAAAACAATTGTTATTGATCAATTAACTTCATTATGATAAGAAACATATTAGACTACATATAAATTTAATAATATTTATTTATAATTATCCTTGGTCTTTTTAGCAAAGGGGTGGCACATGCATGCCATTTACAATGGGCTCAACGATGTCCAACAGCTTTTCTTAATTGCAGTCTTTTGCTGCATCTAAGTCTCTGTAAACTCATGCATTATATTAGTAATTTCATATATTCCAAGGAACCAAAATCAATTTAGGTTGAATTTGGTAGACTGAATAAGATCAGATAAGGATAAATTATCAATCATTATTTAATGTTTGGCAGGTTGGATTAAAAACTTAGATAAAATTTTGGGCAAGATAGATGTTGGATAATTATTTAGTTTGATCCAAATAAATTATATTATGGAGGAGATAAAATAATTTTAACTTTTGTCTAGTCTCTTTGAGCAACATTATCGTTAATATTTACAGGTTAGTTTATTAATTTATATTGCCTACTGCTGTCAACCACTACTGTCTGCTGCCGTCAGCCACCACTATCCATTGTTGCTACCTACAATGGATAAGAACGGATAAGGATAAAGTATACTCTCTTATCCAATCTTGGTAGGTTGGATAAATAAATCAAATAAAAGTTCAAGTAGAATAGAGATCAAATAATTTAGTTTGATCAAGGTAAACTATTTTAAGGAGGGGGTAAGATAATTTTATCTAATATTTATTCAATCTTTTTGAACAATATCATATTTACTATTTATAAACCAAATTACTAAAATATACTCGCCTTCCACTAGTGACCATCACTATCCGCCACCATCAGCCACCGTTGTCCATTGCCATTTACTGCCGCTCACCATCCACCACCACTTGCTATCACCTGTCGTTCATTATTTATTGCTATCAAGAATAAAAATATTATTTTGATAATTTATATATTTATCCAGTGTTTTATTCAAATTTTAGTTAAAATATACTAAGAAAATATAATAATTCAAAATACTATGCAGTCAGAATATTTTTATCTAGAAATTGTCTTATTCTATTTTATCTTGTCCCAAATCACTCGACAACCCTTTATAAGATAAAATATAAGACATGATTAGAATTATATCTCATATAAGAGAAAATTAAAGATAATTGATGAATATTGTATGGGATTTATGTGAATCCCACGTCATCATGTACACAAAATTAGAAAAGTCTTTTTCTCATGACTTCTTACTACAAATCGAAGAGATTTACATAAGAAAATGGGATGACTCACATGTAAAAGAAAGAAAAAGGGGAGAAGTATGAAACAAATCACATGGGGTTCACTCGGAAACTGGAATCTCCTTTATCATCTTTTATAAGAAATTCCTGACTTGTGATTAGGCCGTGAACATAATACTTAATGTATTATCATCAACCAAGATACACGCAGTTCCAAACATTTCCATGTCTTTCCATGTTGTCGTCCACTCATGCACCCCTTATAAATTAAGAAACAAAAAAGCCTTTACCACTTTTATTTCCTTTCCAATTAAGTTTCCTTAACGGATGAAACTGAATGATTATGGATTGTATATATGCACATTAAATCTCTTTCTCAGGGATCTAAGTATACTACTACTTGGTCTCAATGGCAACAACAACACCATCTTTGCCAGATCAACAGGAGGCTCAACCCCAACAAGTGCTGCCTAGTAATACTGCAGCTTCATCTAATAGTGCTTGGCAGTCTTCCGGCTCAATTGGGCCATTCTTCGCCGTCATCTCCGTTCTGGCGGTTCTCGTGGTTCTTTCGTGTGTGGCAGGCCGATTTTGGGGCGGCCAGGACAGGAGTACTCCCTTGGACAGCATCAAGCACAGAGATTATTTTGGTGGTTGAAAAGAATTAGAGGAAAGGGGTGCATTGGATGTGGTGGTGATGCTGAAGTTGGAGTCAAGGGCATGGTGGCGGGGGACAAATCTCATACTGATGCCAAGGCCCAGGGCGAGGTTTAGTCAAGCATTTGGCTGATGACTCCAGATATAATTTTTTAGCCCATAGATTCGTCTATACCTTTGCCCTATAATCTTTTGAATATCCTAGTATATTCATTAATCTAGCTTGAGATATATTTTTCTTTTCATTTCTTAATTGACTGAGTTGACCAATGGGTACTGGTTCAAATTATTAAATTGTGGATAATTAAAATTGAAAGACGTGTAGGAATTACATTTAATTTAGCTTGGGATATATTTTCTTTTCTTTTCTTTTCTTAATTTGCTGAGTTAACCAATGAGTACCAGTTTAAATTACTAAATTGTGGACAATTAAAATTGAAAGATGTGTAAAAATTACATTCAAGCCAATTGAATTATAGGTGTAATTTGTCTCAAGTTGGGTGGCTAACTCATTACATAAATTTTTTAGAATGCCTTACTTAAATAAAAGGAAAAAGATTAATTCTCTCCCACACGAGAATTGCCTTGGGGCAAAATAAGCACAATTGCCCTATATAGTACAAATAGTTAACAAAATTTATATTTTATTAAACTTGATGGAAAGAAAACAACTTAGCAAAGCAATCCTCTGCCTATTTATAATTGCTTCTGATGCTAACAATCAATTCTCCGTCTTGTCAACCTTTGCTTTTAGGGTTTATTTGTCTTGATAGTTTATCAATTATTCAAAAGAAATGCAAAAAATAAATTAGGGATTCTCAATTACGGAAATGAAGAAACAGAGAGAAGTCCAAAGGTGCAAAAATCTTATCCCCGTAAATAAACCCATGGTTCCTCTTAATTTCTGACCAGCCCAAGCCCAAGCCCAAACCGAAACCCAAACACCAAACCCAGTATCATTTCCACCTTCAACCCTACAAATATTGTTTAGCCAGAAAACTCCTCCGGTCCTCCCCTTCCTCCTCCATTACTCGTCACCGCTATACATTTTTCTTCATCATCATATGCATGTTCGTCTTCATGTTCATCTTCATTTATCAACTAATTTTTAAGAATTCAATTCTTAGTTGATGAACATGGTATATCCAAGTTTATGATTCAAGTTCGCCTCTTTGCCCCTTAAATCAAGAAGAAAAAGAAATTGACGAAAGTCACCAAAAAAAATAAAAAATAAAAATCACAAAGATGTCAATAGTGCTAGAGGTGCACCAGCTTGATCAGCTGAGGGAGATATTCTCGCGATTCGACATGGATTCGGATGGCAGCCTCACCCTCCTGGAGCTCGCCGCCCTGTTGCGGTCCCTCGGGATCAAGCCCACCGGCGACCAAATCTACGTCCTCCTCAAAAACATGGATGCCAATGGCAACGGCACAGTAGAGTTCGACGAGCTGGTCAACGCCATCACGCCGGAGTTCAGGGAGGAGACCCTCATTAACCAGGAGAAGCTCTTGGACGCGTTCCGCCTGTTTGACAACGACGGCAACGGCAACATCACGCTGGCGGAGCTAGCCGGAGCCATGGCCAAGATGGGGCAGCCCTTGACATATAAAGAGCTGGTCGAGATGATCCAAGAGGCCGACACGGACGGCGACGGCGTCATTAGCTTCGAAGAATTTGCCTCTGTCATGGCCAAGTCCGCAGCCGAATTTTTCGGGTTCCCTTTGTCTGGATTAGAATAGATTTCATGGTATGTTTTCACTGTCATTGTAGTGATCATCGTCGTCGTCCTGGTCACCGTCATGAATAGAAATATATAGATGCATATGTATGGATTCATGATTCATCTGCCATCATCCAGATCCCAACGGATCAAGGGCATGTTCATTTAGGCATTCTCTTTTGTTCCAACTTATCTTACATTAAATTTTAGATCAACGTTAAATATCTGCGACCCATCTTTGTGTTGTATGCTTTTGTTAATTAACTTTGTCGGGAAGCCATGCAGAATCCCAGGAAGTTCATTTTATTGAATTGGAATTTGGAAGCTTTGCCAGGCAGACCCAGAAAATTCAAGTGCTTTTGGCAATCTATGTAAGGATTCAATTTGATCGTTAAAGTTGTTTTATTTGTTCTAACTATTAATGCAAAAAAAGAAAGAAAGAAGGAAAGAAATTCCTTAAAAAATGACATGAAGAAAAAAATAATTGTTTGACATAAATAGTAATTACATTGAGAAATTCAAATTTGACTCTCGCTTCCCTACCGGATAATCATGAACAACCCTGGCAATTTATCCATTTTGCAATTTTCCCCCTCAAGATGGACTTAGTTTCATTTGGAAGATGCAAGTCTTTTACAAAAAAAAAAAAAAAAAAAAAAAAAAAAAAAAAACTTGATTTAAATGTTTTGAATCTTTAATCTTAATATAGAAGTTTAAAATGAAATTTAATGAACAATGAGCATCTCCAACTCATAAGTGGTTAAAAGCAAAGAATCCGTAAAACAAATTTGTGAGGGAGATGCGATGTAGATTTCCTTTGGCCATTATCCTATGCTGGATTAACCTATTTTGCCACGTATTGTCTGGACTAGTAGTCCCCTTGTATTCAAAGAGAATAATACCATATGCATCTAAATATGAAAGAATTCGATAATAGATAATATACCAACTTTTCTCCGCTGTTTAAGGATAAAGAAAAGTTAGGCTGAGACTTTAAAAATGCTAGTGTCACACCCCGAATTTAGAAACAGTTCCTAACTAATATATATATATATATATATGTATGTATATATTCCGAGATATGGGTCAACAGTTTAAAAGTCACTATAAAAAAAAACGTTATTAGTAACCGTAAATTAGTGACCGCACTAATGAGTCATTAATTAATGACCGATTAGTGACTTAGTAATGACCGACTAAGGCTAAGTTATTTGAAAAAAATAACAACCGATTTGTGACCGTAGACACTATGGTCAGAAATCGATCACAAAGTTAGCGACCGCTACGAGATAAGTTACAAAAAGGTCAATAATTAGTGACTGAATATGATGCGGTTATAAAATCAGTTACTAATTAGTGACCCTCTCATGGTGGGTCACAAACTAATTAGTGACCCTCTCATGGAGGGTCACAAAGAGGGTCACAAATTTGGGGAGTGGGCCTTTACAGTCGGTCACTGATTAGTGAATCCCATTACGGTGGTTGCAAATGGTCACTAATTACTGACCCGAATTTGGCAGTTACAAAAAAGGGTTACCAATTAATGACTCCCTTTAGGCGGTTACTATTGGGTCACTATTTAAAAGAAATGATCATTTTACTGTGATTACTAATTTGTGACCCCCTTTATCGGTTACAATTCGGTCAGTAATAAATTTTTATTTGTAATTAAATATTTAGCTTACCAACTGGGAAAAATCTAGTTATGAGCATATATCTATTCAGTTACAAGCATACCTCCATTTATGGAATTAAGTGGTTGACTAGTTCAGTTATAAGCAAAGTTTCATTGAATTACAAACACAGACTCATTAGATTACAAGCAAACCGTTGTTTTGTTACAAGCAGGAATGTATAGAGTTGCAAGCAGAGACCTTTATACTTACAAGCATATCTACTCGCTCAGTTACAAGCAGAGACTAGTACAGTTACCTGCAAAGCTAGTTCAGTTACGAGCAGAGATCTGTATAGTTGCAAGAAGATTTTTTTACAGTTATAAGCATATCTACTCGCTCAGTTACAAGCAGAGACTAGTACAGTTACCTGCAAAGCTAGTTCAGTTACGAGCAGAGATCTGTATAGTTGCAAGAAGATTTTTTTACAGTTATAAGCATATACTTGATCAGTTACAAGCAGATTGCTATATAGTTACAAACAAAGACTCGTTCAGTTACAAGCAGAGGTTGTATAGTTTCAAACAGGAACCTTCATAGCTACAAGCAAAGACTCATTCAGTTACAAGCAGAGATCAGTACAGTTACATGCAAAGCTCGTTTAGTTACAGGCAGAGAACTGTATAGTTGCAAATAGAGTTTTTTACACTTACAAGCAATACTTGTTTAGTTACAAGCAGATTCTTGTATAGTTACAAGCAAATACTCTTTCAGTTATAAGTAGAGGTTGTATAGTTTCAAACAGGAACTTTCATAGTTACAAGCAAAGACTCATTTTGTTATAAGCAAAGACCAGTACAGTTACATACAAAACTCGTTTAGTTACGGGCAGAGACCTGTATAGTTGCAAGTAGAGTTTTTTACAGTTAGAAGCATATACTTGTTCAGTTACAAAGTAGATTGCTGTACAGTTACAAGCAAAGACTCGTTCAATTACAAGCAGAGGTTGTATAGTTTTCAAACAGGAAACCTTCATAATTACAAGCAAAGACTTATTCAGTTACAAGAAGAGACCTGTGTAATTACTAGCAGAGACCTGTGTAGTTACAAGCAAAGATGCATTCAATTAAAAAGCATAGCCATGTTTACTTACAAGCAACATACAAAGGTTGTTCAGCAATTTTATTGGAAGTGAAAATCTGATATTCTGTTACAACCAAAGACCTGTATAGTTACAAGTAGAGATCCATTCCGTTACACACACATCTCCATTCAGTTCGAAGCATAACTTTCTCAATGTATTCAATTATATGCTTGAAAAATAATGCGAGAAATATAGATATGTACAATAACCAATAAAAAATATCTCTACAATTGTTTTCCTAGATCTATAATGTATGTATAAGCTTAACCAGCAATCAGTAATTGTTTTCATGCATCTATGTCCTATGAATAATTATACAAAAAAATTACAAGGCATTAAAATTTTTCATGTTGCACGTCATTAGAAACTGTTACAGTCCCTTATTTTCCCATGATAGGCAATGTGAAGCTCATCTCAACCTAGTTTGTCCTAGACCCTAGCATCCTTGAGTACTTTCTCCCAGTATTCATTTCTGGGGTGTGTCACCTAGTCACATACATATTATTTTCTGAACTCTCGTACCATAACCTGTAGAAACGTATCAGATTAAAATTAAATGCACTATCTTGCGCAAATCATCATCCTAGTGTTGTTGTGATTAGTCATTTAGGGGAGAATACTTAGGCATGGGTGCATTATCCCAAGTCTGCATGTATTTCAGTACATACACCCTGCAATTAGAACTGCATCCACGTATTAAACATGAAAAATATGGCAAGACATTATATGTTCCAATTAATTTAATTCTATACTCACCCGTTTGATTGCAGAGGGAGATTGACATATTACAGGTCGACTTGGTTGTCTTCTAGGGATCTGTGGCCAAATTCTTACAAGAGCTCGTGAAATTTCATTGCCTGGGCAAAAAGACATACATATCATTCGGATGGTGGAGAAAATAGTGTAGTGAAATCTATGAATATGGTGCCAATAACATGATATCGTGAACTGGTCGAGTTGATGCTTTGGGCTTGCTTCGTTCATCTTCATGGAATTTAATACATGTAGTGTTTTGCTTGCAGGGGATAGCGCGTAATAACTCCAATGCTCCTTATAGAGGTAAGGAGCAAAAATCTAGAATAATTATAAAATTTCAGTAATTGTACAGAGATATAAAAGTAACTAAACAGTAATATGCTTGTAAGTAAGTGTACATTATTACAACCATAATTAAACTTACCTAATTGTAACTGAAGATGTCATATCCTATTACAATGTGATCGAAGACACTCTCTACAAAAGTGGTGTCTTCGCAATCCTCTTGAAATGTACAATTACATTATCCTACATGGGAAAAAAGTTGTTATCCACTCATTAGATTATATTGAAACTACTGACTACAAGTAAAGTATAAAAATTCTCACCATAAAGAGGGGGTTAAGAAAATGTCGAGCTACAACACCATTTTGTTCTAATTGTTGGTGATTCCCTAGTGTTGCAGCAAAGATGACAACCTAATTTGGATAGCTCAACATTAAACAATAGAATTGAATATTAAATAATGCTATGAAAAGTAAGTAATACATACCATATTGGATACCCACTGTCTATTGTAAAGAGTGTGCAGGTCTAATTATGACAAGTGGACTCTGAGCATATTAACAAGCACCCTTTCATATAAATAGAATGTATGTGAATCATATTGTCACAGAAATATATAAATTAGTTTGAACTAGCAAATTAATTTTGGGGTACCTGTCTTAATCAGACAGTGATTTGTGGACACAATATGAAAACAGGGCGTTGAGGGCAGAGTTATTTTGGTTTTTAGACGAGGCCACCGATGGTTTTTTCCTAGCATATGTTCTTATTTGGCGGGGAGGAACATCCTCGTCTACTTTAGCAACAGGGACTTCCTCAAGTTGTTCTTCTTCGTGAGGTGCCCCTTTAGTTTTCTTCGGCTCCTCAGCTTCTTTCTTAGATGCCGGGGATGCAGCAGCAGGTTACCTAGCTTTTTGCTGAGATACCGGGAATGCAGCAGCAGGTGCCCCCTGGGTTTGATTATGTTCCTCTTGAGCTTTTTCCTGCTGTGCTCTATTGGGGGACTTTGAGGGTGTTGTGGCCGCAGCCATCAATTCAATGTCAACAAGTTTCAATTTCTTGTAGACTTTGACATTATTTCTTTATGGATATTCCTTATGAGCTGAAACAAAGTTAAAGTTAAATCTATAAAAAATAAGCCCTAGTAGTGTGGCAGTTAGTATTTAGTATTTACCTCATGCTTCAGCGTACTAGCAGCAATGTCCGGATCCTGGCCAGCGCTTTCTAGGGGAACAACACCCTGGAATGTATATCAATATGTTAAATGAATCAACCTTTACAGAAATACATTGAAAACAATACGCTTGTAACTTCACATACACATGCTTGAAAGTTTACATATATAATGTTTGAAAGAAATAATATGAGTGCTTATAACTTAATAGATACTTTACAGTACCTCTTTGCCTCTCCTCTCAATTTGAATGCACCTTTGAATTTGTTTGTTTTTCTATTGTCTCGTCAAAGGCGCCTCATTACTGACTTGGACTGATGGGTTAGGGAAGTAAATTCAAAATAATAAAACTGTCAGTTGTAAATTTCAAGTAAAAATATGCAAGTCCAAAATGTGACAACAAAACACAGTTTACCATTAAGA